TATAAGAGACAGTTTATGGAGAACGAAACACTGTGACATGCGCGCAACGGATCGTTATTAATGGCAATTCGTTCAGACTGCCACCGACAATCAGCAGACAGCGTTGTGTCGTCTAACGGCCACAGGAAGCGGACTTGGATTCGTCGGCCAATGATTGTACGACGCAGCGCCCAGTCTAAATGAAAACAAATCTGCTCTACTAGAAGGGAAGGTAGCGAAGACAAAAAGAAAGGAGTGAGGGAGAGATGGAAGGAGAGAAAAATAAAAAAAAAGAGGCACATTAGAAGAAAAATGAAGATGCAAGGAGAAGAATGAGACAAAGGAGAGAAAAGATGGAAGTAAAGAGGAAAAGGCAATATTATTCTTGTATATATAATGCCTGTCTCTTATACACATCTAGTTCCTATTGGTCAGAAAGATCGATTTGACCCGTAAATGACCTCAGCAGTGATTGGCGATCATGGTGCGATGTGGCCAGGCCTGCCTTCGCTCGGTGTTCGCGACGAGTGATCAGTGATGAATAGATCGATTTTCTGTCTGTCTACGGCTTAGAAAGTCCGTTTTTTAAAACGAAGTATATTTTTTTTCAAAATAATGAACTTTTCAAAATAATGAAAATTTTCGTACGGTAGCTTTTTAGGCATGCGGACGGTGGACGCAAACCTACAACTTTCATTCCCGTGGCCTAAGCTACAATTTACGTAGCATTTTCAAGTAACATAATTTAACAACATTCTATCTATCTTCGTGTAGTCAAAGTTATATTGAAAATTAAATATACAAAGTAAACTAATACATGCAAACGTTTTCACATTTTTAATCACACTTACTGATTTTATTCTTTGGGCAACCTCTTTTTTGTTACTTTTCATTTCTTTCTTCATCATCTACGTAAGATAATAAATTCTTAGTTTAAGTTAGTAGTCCAATATTATAAGAAAAATACAAATAAAATTATAGCTGCAAAGATAAATAGTACTGTTATTTCCTATTGATGGACAATCGTAAATAAATAATTTTTCATTTATCTTCCCGCTCCACCCCATGACTGTTCTATTCAAGTCATGTTTACCGCGATAAAGCACCAGATCAATCTGTAATCTGCACGTTTCTGATGCGTTTCTCATCATAACTATCGCTTACTAATTCGTCTGACAAATACTCATCGATGACACTCCAACCCCCTTCTGATTTATCCGCCATTCCTAATCAGCTTGTTTCTTCGCTGGAGACGTTTTTCCACATCTTCTAAACAAATTTCCAACTTGCTAAGTCCTTAGCTATTCTATCTCTCGCTCGGTCGACTAGATCCAACACTTCCGAATTAAACTCCAACTGGGCCTGATTACCCACAAACCTGAACTTCACCTTGGCTGCCATCTTTATTTTCTCTGTTTCAGTTTTACATACCTTAATTGCAGTAATGAAGCTTAACAAATAAAAAATAAAATTAAAAGTCCTTTTAAGTTCTGAAACCATCTATGGAGATGGTTTACTCACCATCATTTCAAGAACAGTGAAGCCAATTAACTTTGAAAGCACCTGTAAAGATAAGAATAATAAAACAACAGTGACAATTTATTCAAAGAACAGTGGATTTTGTAACATTATAGAAATCACGGTACATCAAATAATAATGCAACAATAATTTTTGAATGAACTTAGGAAAAAATTTGCAACTGCGTAGAAAATTAAAATCAAATATGGCTTTATTCAAACAAACTTATATCTTCTCGTATTGTCTTAATAAAAAAACAGGCAAAGTTAATCCTTGATTAATGACCCGAATGAATGCAAGTTGATAAAAAAACTCCACACATCTTAGAAATAACACTTAGAAATAAATAATTTAATTTTTGAATGATTTCATTTAGTGTGCTTATTATAAAACAAGAAATGTGTCTCAACTTAGAAAGTATAATACAAACTCCAAGTACTGAAATACACACCATCGTGTTGGGATTCAATATTTCGACATTAATTGTGTCATCAACTGATAATTAATCATCTTATCTGAGATTAATCAGTGGACCTTTCGGATTCGGAAAGCGCTCCATGTGTCTCATCACCCTGGGTCACTCACTGCATGTCTGCCATTTTGTTTTACCTTATCAGCTAAGTCCACATCCAAAGTCGTCTGCCCACCATCATCTGTTACCGTGGCAGCAAGCTTCCAACCAGAAGAATCGTAACTTAAACCAGTAATCAGTGTAGTGAAATTTCCCTAGAGAAGAAAGGAAGGAATTGTTCAGAGGATGGTTTAAATATTTTCTAAAAGATTAGTTTAAGCTGGGCTTCTTTTCAAATTGGACCTTTTTTCTGGGCTACTTTTGCAAAGTAAAGAAGGGAGCTCTTTTCAAAATGAATGCTGTAAAATTTGGGAATTACTACTATATAACAATAAATAGGTCCAATGTAACATCAATCTCTATCATGGAGTGTATTAACCGGCATTAAATCACCTAATCTACTGTATAAATGGAACATTTTTTCCAATTCATTGAGTTTCTTGGAAATTTATGTACAGTGTATGTACTGTACTATCTCGAAAGGCCAAGCTATCTTGAAAAGAGGCCCATGGGCTTCTTTTCAAGTCTACTTTTGCAAACTCAAAAAAAAAAGGGGGGAGGGCTTCAATTCGAGATGGGATTCTTCTCAAGATTAAGCCCATGGCATTCAATGTATGGTAGATAAGTTGCCTTATTAATCTGCACTTTTGTAAATCCTCATAAGGCAAAATTTTATGTTTATATGTTTTAATATGTGGTTGTCATAAACAACTGTATGTAAATTTTTTTAATATCAAAAAATAACCCCCCAAAAACCCCAAGAATTTAAATATATTTCACCTTAATTTTAAAAGTTCCTTGAGTCTGCAGAAAAGAATCTTGCAGAGAAATAAATTCTGTTAGTTTGCTTTTATCACCTGTTAAAAAAAGACATTACTGTATAGTACATGAAGAATTGTGGTTATGATGATGTCTGCAATGCATACCTATGACGATCAGTTCAATATCGGCAATAAAAGGATGCTTCTAAAGCCTGATATCAACTGCGCGGACGGTCGTCGGCCAATGCGATTTTATGGAGAACGAAACACTGTGACATGCGCGCAACGGATCGTTATTAATGGCAATTCGTTCAGACTGCCACCGACAATCAGCAGACAGCGTTGTGTCGTCTAACGGCCACAGGAAGCGGACTTGGATTCGTCGGCCAATGATTGTACGACGCAGCGCCCAGTCTAAATGAAAACAAATCTGCTCTACTAGAAGGGAAGGTAGCGAAGACAAAAAGAAAGGAGTGAGGGAGAGATGGAAGGAGAGAAAAATTTAAAAAAGAGGCACATTAGAAGAAAAATGAAGATGCAAGGAGAAGAACGAGACAAAGAAGAGGAAAAAATGGAAGTAAAGAGGAAAAGGGAACATTATTCTTGTATATATAATGCTATACGCTATACATGAAATAGTACAGTATAATTAGCATTGCTTTTGGAAGTGGGAACAATCACTACTTTACATAATTTCTCACATATGTTCAAGTCCTCTTCATCATCTGAAATCATGATGACTTCTTCACAAGATACTATCTTAGCAACATCGCTCTTTGAATAACATTCTTCTCCACTATCTGGAAGTGGCCTTGGTTGACCCGTCCTAGAAGTAACTGCAGACTGTAGATTTACAGTTTGTTTATTTGTTGCAGAGTGTGGATATACAGTTTGTTTATTCATCACATTCTGACTACTTGACGAACTAAAGTTTGTTGAATTCCAAATTGGTTCACCCGAGTCTGACTTAACTGCATTTTTTGAAGTGGAACTCCAAGTTGGAAAAATACTATTTTTAGTGGCCATATTCCTTGGAACGAAAGCTTGATTTCCTGTGGTCATTGGCTTGCTATCCACTGAGTTAATTCTTTTTGGTTCGTGTGATGACAAGTCTACATCTGTTAAAATAAAATTTTCAAATACAGTAGTTAAAAAAAAAATTAAATTAAAATTTCAAATTTATGTACATTTCAAACTTTCCTTAAATTTATCTTGTATGTTTTATCATGTATCTTAATCAATCTACCGCCAGATAAAAAGAAAAAAAACATTTTCAAAATTTATTATTGGAACGAACAATCAATAATGTAGCATTGAATTGGTTAAGGATTTATAACAAAAATTTAATAGGATTTTTATAGTAAAAATTTAATCCGAATGATGTTTGGCCCTACCTGATGTATTATCATACCGAATGCTCAGTACGTTCCAGAATACTTGCGCAAAAAGTGTTTTTGAATTGGGAATCGAACCAGCAACCTCCAGATAAACAGACCACAGAACTTGCACTTAGTACCTACAGTTGAGTCTGATCCCCCCAATAGCAGTGTGTGCTGCAAGGCTATTTCGATAGTGTTTGTTGAATGTTGTTGACAACTGTGTGTACATGTCACAAATGTATCCTCATCATTAGTAGTACAATTAAACAGATTACTTTTAAAAATCAAACAGATGTACTGAGCATGAGCAGTAATATAAGGCAATGCCATTGGAGAATATTCTTTTGACCTCAGGGTTTAGCACTTTGAGTAAATACTGTACCATTGTCATAGTGCCACTGGACAATCTGCATTGGATACTGGTGCTATAAAAATCCAGGTTGATTGATTGATTGATTGATATTACCTGGAAGAATGATGTCATCTGGAATTGATTGTAGAAGATCGTCATCAACATCATCGGGCCATTCTTCTGGTTCTTGCCGCTAACATAAGTAATTTAAAAGTTTTATGCAGCTAATCATAAAATGAAGAACACAGGATGAGAATGTTTAAATTTTATTAAAATTACATAGACAGAAACCTTTTTTTCCTAAAAGAAATATGACGTTACATGTAAGTTTAACTCCAAAACTTGTATTTGGAAATACCGGGATGGTGTCCGGCGGGGGATAGTTTTACCCTCAGTTTAAGTTTAAGTTACATTTTGGTATTAAGATTAGTGTTAGTTGTAGTTAAGATGTCCTGGATATGACGTTAAAATGCATCCGCTCGAATCGCCGGCAACTAACTGGCAGCCCCATCTACGGCCTTAGCGTCCTTCGGAAGGGAGTGTGAATGGTCACCCAGCAGCAATAAGAAAAATAGCTTAACAAAGGGCAGATGAACTTTTCGGAGCCAACGGCCAAACCATGCTTAGTTTAAGGAGTAGGATTAGTTAAGTATCATTATATTTGTATTCTTATTTATGTGAAGCACATAGAGGCCTCTATGATATGCGCTGTGTAAGTCGACCATTATTATTATTATTATTATTATTATTATTAAGATAAACAAGTCTAAAATTCATTTTAGAAACTTGTTTTTTGTTATTAAATTTTTTTTCAGATACAATTGTTATACAATATGTATGATCTATATACCAGCTTGTCACATACAATGAAGAAATACATAAATAGAAAAATATGAAAAAAACACTACTGTAGTTCCTTTAGTACAATAAGCCCACTCCTTACTTTACGCCCAATTTTATGTGCAGCACTAGCATTTCCTTGGGCAAAAATCCCAGGGTATAACTTAAATGAATAGCTTAGCTGCCTTTTACCAATACTCAAATAAAATAAAATTAAACATTGGCTTTGAATTAGACATGCAGTGATGAAGTGCTGTTTGATTGAAGTGAAGATTCACTAGGTATAATCCCACTCCAAAAAATTAGCCCAATTTTGTGTTAAAGGGAGTGAGCTATACCAGAGAAACTACGGAACTGATATTCTGAATGGATGGAATGATTGAGTATGGAGTGATTGAATGATTGCTTGAATAAAGGATGACTGACTGACTGATGATTGACTGATTGATTGTTTGATTGATTAATGTATAGATTAATGGAGTCAACACAGTGGCGAATTCAAGGAGGGAGCCAGAGGGCCCGGACCCCACCCCTAAATTTGTCAAAATTTTAAAATACTGGAGAAAAAAAAGAAAATTACATTCAAATTTTAAGAGTGCCATTTCCTACTATCTAGAGGTGACATAATCGTAAATTTTTTTACCTCAGCAACAACTATTGCGGGGCTAAGGTCCATTCATTTATCAATTGATAAATGAATGGATGGATGATTGGATGATTGATTGATTGATACCTGATGGTGCTGTCGTTCTAGCATCTCAATTTCCTTCATTTCTTGCAGCATGTCATCATTAAAATCTTCTTCATCCATTAGAAAGTCATCATCGGGAGTGGTGCCAGCAGTCGTTTTAACCGCTTGAACATTCCCTTTCCGCTGATTAGGAACAATCTGACATTTCTCTGGATCGTTCGTAATTTTTGTTGTGACTCCATTTCGGAAGTGTTCAGGTATTTTAGTTCTGCCTTCATCAGACCTAAGTATTTGAAAACATTACACATCATTACCAGTCATTCTATAGTTAACATTACACACAGGCCTGTAACAAAGGTAGAGTGGTTTTAAGTTTTGGTCGAACTCTCTTTTCAGACGAAACCCCTACTTATTACTGTAACTAAATCACCCCTCGCTTTGCATTAAAAACCACCAAAATGATAAAATTCACCATTTATATGCTATAATACTTCAGCTTGAAAAGAAATTTTCCCCTGACCCTCACAATTCTTATACCTTAAGAGTTCAGGCTCTCATAAAAACCACCTCAACAAACCCTAGTTTAGAGTCTTCTATTTGTATTACAATTACTCTTTATTTGAATATGCACAAGAATAAATTCATTTTTCATTACAAAAACAGGAATGTTTGCTGCATGTGTTATTCAAAATTATTATTTTCATTATAAAACCAAATGTATGTAGAATGTGGTTTATCTTATCAACATTAATTTACATGTTATTCTACACTAATAAAGTCCAACTGTGAATTTACAGACACTGGAACCTAGTACTTATCAGAATTATTCTGAAATTACACTTAAAAGTCAAATTGAGGTCAGAGTCTATTGGGTGACTGTTTAAAAGTGTGTACATGGATAATTAATTCAATTTTGCTTACAGGGCTTTTGAAAGAACTTGAACTTGAGAGCAGGTCTCAACGAGAGTGTCTACTTCACCGCCAAGCACTTTGATATTCTCTTCAGACAACATCAGGACACCAAGTCTACATGTTATGCTGCCCTCTAGAGATACCTTCAATTAAAACTTAAAAATTAGAAAATGGAGCTTTCTGGAGTGTCAATCAAACTAGACAACTGTCCAATCAGAGCAGGGCCTGGAATATACGCATGTCTAACAAGAACTGTCCATTTGTGGGACAACAATATCCAAGGGGCGGGTCTTAGTGAAAGTTCCATTTTCGAAGAGTATAGAAATAAAAAAACATGATCATTATTGTAAATCTTTATGTATCTTTTTACCTGATGTCACAATTATGAAAAAGAGTCCAAAATTCTGCCGCCCATATTGTTTCCCTAACACCTCGTCATCATCATATAAAACCCACCTTTCAAAATTTACACTCGCTCAATATAAAACAACGTGCTATTTTCAAGCTACTTTTGTTGATTTTCAAGCCACTTAGCTTTCATCAACCTGTTTATTTACTAAATCACCTTTCCCAATATATTCCTCTTCGTCATCTTCATCCTTCATTTAAAAATTTCTTGACAGTTCCATCTCGTAAAGGCAAATCAAAAACTTATGATCAACATGCTTTTTCCCTTTCAAGCCCCCTTTTACATGGAATTCCTTGCCGCTTTTTGTTCGCGATTCGTCTAATTTGCTTTCTTTTATAAAAATAAAATTCTTTTATGAAAATAAAAAAAACTTTCCTATTACTGGAACATTAACTTGCTTCCTTTCCTCACTTAGCGCCTTTGATAAATTTTTGAATTGTCACTATATATATATTTAATATTATTATAAATATTCTGGTTTCAAATCATGATTTTTCTTCTCACAACTTAAAGACTCAAATACTATTAATGAGCACCAATTTTATCGTAGCTAAACACTTCATGTTAAATAAAGAATGAATATAAAAAATGGAATTGATGGCGAATCCGTTTACCTTTGTTCCTGGCGGTAAACTTGTATTAAGACATCGTACAGGTTTATACTCCATTGCTTGCATACTCTGATGACCGTCCGTCAAATACAACATCAACATTCGGCTCGATTTTACATTGTACTAAAGTAGAAATCACATGAGTGTATATGTTATACTAGGCATTAATGTGTAGGCTAATGACTTGTTTTATAGTCATGTATGCATATTGTGCAATAGTATACAAATATTGACTGCTCATAGAAGGAAATTGTGAAATCTATTGCCAAGAGGTGATGTGGAAAACATAGGGCTGAAGGAAGATAGGCTACGGTTTCCACATCACCGAGGGGCTATAGCCTTCACGTTCCCTGAATCAAGAGCAGTCAATATTTGTTTTTAGTTATTATTAAAAGAAAATTCCAACATCCTTGCGTTACTGTACTCAGGCCTATATGTTTAAATAAAACTATTTTCTACATTGTTCTTCTCGTTGAAAATAACATTATCTCACCTGGCTCTGTGTAGCTGGTGTCGCAGTAACAAACACATTAGCATTCTCTTTACCTTTGACTTTTTGAAGCTGAGTGTATGCGGATTCACTGACATCCTCAACATAGTTCATCTGTTAAAAAAATGTAAGCATTTCTCATAAAAAAAATTATTAAAAAGATAAATTTTAAGATTAAAAAGATAAATGTTAATATAATTTTTTTTTTATTTTTATTTGCAAAGTAAACAAACTATTGACCATATTATTTGCTAAATATTTGATATTAATTTTTATACACTGAAAATATGACTGTCAGTTTGAACAAATTTATAAGATAGTTGTGATTGTTTGATATGTAGGACTAAAAGGTAGTCCAGTATTCATTACTGAGCATAGGGGAATAGGCTGTTAGCCAATCGTACTAAGCCTCGGCATTATGTGGTAGGGTGGCCAGTTACTTTCCACGAAGCCTTTTTCCTCCCCAGTAGTGAACCAGGTACTCATTTATACTCCTGGGTAAAGAGAGACAAATGTAAGTATAAAGTGCCTTGTCCGTGTACACCAGCAAAATGCACAGCAAAGGTTTGAGAGAGCGAAATGCAACCGTTGCACCAACAGCTTATGACAATCAAGTCAATTTGTACGATATTCTGAAAACGTCTTGTTGATCTACATAGTGATCAGTAGCATCATTGTTATCACCTTAATTATTATCACTGCATTATCATCACCATTAATCAGTCAATGATGGTAATCCTAGTCAACTTCGTCAATATCTGTATCATTATTAATTTGAATTTCCAATATACTGTACATTGATAACCAAAACTGAAATTCAATATTAGGAGTAATATTTTGAAATATAAACTCTGGTTACATTGATAAGTTGGCAGGATTAAAGGATTTTACAATGTTTAAAAAAAAAAAAAACCAAATTACTTACTTGTAAAGCATATTTTCCTTTCAACTCGGTTTTTGTCTCCTTGTTGATGCCAACAGGCAATATAGGTGGCGCTATTTCAGACAAATCAGAATCTAGCCACTGTTCATACACCATAGATTTAAGGTTGGTATCATTTAACACTTTTCCCTGTAAAAATAAAATTTAATTTATTGCACAGTATCTAAAGACTTAACACTATTAACCAACATCGAATTGGATAGACATGTTACCCATTAATGTGTGATGTGATAATTAAATTGTATCCCCAGTCTGTTATTGAAAAAAATATTTTTTAGGGTGTTTTTAAATTTTTTAAAAATGATTGAAACATTGTTTAAAATCATTTATTTTTGTTATTTATTTAAAAAAACAACAGCAGACACAAATCCGCCACAGCACTAAAAAAGACGGTACAAAGCACACATAATGAGTTTGACTAAGTACAACTAAAACACTACGACAAAAATATGTAAATTAGAATTAAATCATTAGACAGATCTTGGTAATTCAAAAATAATTAAGTTTTGCTTACACTGATACTATCATTATTGACTTGTTTAATAAGTGAATGTTCAACACAAGCACATTTGAAATACATTACTGGTAAAATATTAGGTACAAAATAAGTACAGACAGAAATGAAAATACACAAATTAAAATTCATATTCCTTGTGTGTACACAGTAGTGAATCCAGGGGTGATGAGAAGTAGTAAAAGAAATTACATGCCCCTGGATGCACTAGAAAATGGAGAAACCATTACTCCTTGGACCATACCATATCGTAAAACCTTAAATAGAAAAGGCATGAGCTTGTCTTTTTTTTGCGTGTTTTTAATTTATTTCGTTTCTTTGAAATTCATGTACAGTGTATGTACTGTACTCCAGTATATCGAAAAGATGCCCATGCTGTCTTGAATAAAAGTCCATGGCTTCCTTTCAAGATGTGCTTCTTTTCCAGGCTACATTTGCAAACTAAAGAGGGGGCTTCATTAGAGACAACTTCTTCTGGAGATTAATCCCATTGGGCTTCTATTTGAGGTTTTACGGTACATCCATAATTGGCGCAGAAACCCACTGGTACAGTAATGGTTGCAGGGGTGGCGCCAATATACTTCCCCGACAGGGGTCCGAGGTCCCCAACAGGGGGAGCCGATGCCCTAGACGAGGGAGATTTCCCCAACAAGAGCAAAGTGAGCATGGTCAAGCATCGCTTAAAATGTTTTGAAAATGGTCTAGAGGGCGAAGCTACCAAATAAATTTAAAATTTTGACAATTTAGGGGTTTCCATGGCTTATTTAATCGATTTTAGAGTCTACTATTGTGGTTTTTCTACCTAACGGGGGGCCCTGCTGGCACCAACCCTGAATGGTTAAGTACAAAGTCTACAGTTGTTCACTACAGGGCATTCTGTCAACCATATGAAAATTCTACTTTTTTACTGCTTTTATACATGTATTGCTTCCAATCATACCTGATGCTCGGACTTAAGCCAATCCAAGCAAGCTTCTATCCACTCATCATGGACCTGTATATGTTGAGCTTTCAACCAGCCCTTGACTTGCAGCAGCGACATCTATGAGAATTAAAACATTTTAAGCTCAAGTTGAGTTCAAAAAGAAATGGCTTATGTGCTTGTTAAAAAAAGCAGTAGACTCTTAAAAAAAAAGTAGGGGATTAACAATGTACTGCTCAATTCACCACCAGAAAGAAATCCCATTGTCAAACTGTTTTCAAGTATAGTTACACCTTTCTGTAAAGTTTTTTAATTGCATGGAGGATATCTAAAAAATCAGCTCAAATTTGTGTGGAAAATCGCCAGGAAAATAGGTGCGCGGAATCATAATTGCATTGCTTATATATTAGCATTTGGTCAAAGCCAAATTCTCAGCAAAATCTGATTGACCTTATTTTCCAAAATGCGGATTTCTAGTTCAAATAATTGCGCGGCGGATATATTCCCCATGCAGGCCTTACTATACAGTCTGGTAGTATGTTTTACATGATAGGTAAAATTTTTTTTTTTTCTGTGCAGGTATAGTGATGGTTCAGAGCCATTATATAATAAGTATTCAATTTAATATTTCTACATGGATAACTATTCCCCACACAGTCTGGTATAATTCATAAAAAATAATAGTAAGGGCAAATATAAACATTTATTATATTTCCCTACCATCGGCATCAAAAATTTTGGAAATATTGATGCGGGAATAATTTTTTTTTTTAAATTTATTTATATTTATTTTATTTATTTTTTTTTTTTGACGCCTCAATTATTTTAACTTAATAAAAACAACTCTGCAAGAAACAAATGCTCACAAAATATAAAGGAATTGGTTCCGAATTCGGCAGACTACAAACTCTTCCAATTTCTTAGATTAAGACATTGAGATTGCCGTAAAATTGAAAATGCAAAGCCTATTCTTTATACTTGTTTACTGTTGCTAAGATAACAGCTTGCTAACTGCGGTTAAAAATAAAAAACAAAGCGGTCTGTCCCTAAAGAGACCCGCCCAGTGGGCTGATCGGATCGTTGATTCACAACATGAAGACTGACATGTTCCACAGAGACTCTCGCTTCTAAAAATAGCTTGTTACATATTGCATTAAAAGTCTTTCTTGTGATGGGTGTGTTTGATTGGATTGGTTGTTGTTGGGCAAAAACTAACCTACGACATCAACAAAGAAAGTTTAGGCAAAGGCTGGCCTAGCTGGAGGTAAAGAACAAAGCCTAGGCCCCTATGCCTACTACAATTAGGGTGTTCCCTTCCCTTTGATGCTCGAGTAATGTCTGACTTTTTCACCGGAATAATAGCCTAGGCCTAGTTTTGGATAAGCCATTGGATTACAGGGAATTTGTTTAAATGCATCTGCCACTTCAAAAACAATGTCATGTTCGTTCTGTTCATGTACACCGGACTCCCCGGGTATAAAAAAAAAAACCTCCCGCTCTCATCAATTGCTTTTTTTAAAAAGAGTGATAATCTAATAATTTTTTCTATGTAGGCCTATGTACCCTAAATACCACTCTCCCAAGAATTTCTGTGCAAATGCGAGTTATTTTTTAAAATTTGTTTGAACCCATAACTTGTGCGCTTACGGTGTGGTATATAGGCATCTGCTCTTCTAGTCTCAGCAGGGAATTGTTGGTCTCTTCAGGCAGGCCTCAGTAAGCCTAATTATGGAGGCCCTACGAATCCCGGCCCTACTAACTGGGCTCGTTGGTGTAGCGCCTGCCCTGGCCCTTCCTTTCGTCCTTCACATACTGTCGCTGGCCTAGGCCTAGCTGGCTATGCCCTCTATCTACCTACCCTGACCTAGCTAAAGTAGAGGCCTAGCCTAAACTGGTAGTTAATCTGTAGGTCTCTAACCTACTACATTCATTCTCTTACGTTGAAGAAATTATATTATAAAATAGAACGCAAAAAACTTCTTGATTTTAGCATCACACGCTACATCATGCAGACACTCCACGAAAAAAGTCGTCGGGGATCTCGACTTGAGCGAGTAGAGGGCGTTTCAAATTACGCGCGCGCACATGGAGAGGTCAAGGGTAGATCCAGGTCAGGTTATCCCCATTGTTGTTATTATTTTCTGAGTCATGTGGTCTTTGTATTAGAGGTTTTGATGTACGTTTAAATACGTGTCCTGTCTTTATTAGTAGGTAATTTTAGAAATTATGTATCAGAGCTAAAGGTCCAAACACCACTTAATGTGTTTGCTCAAATATTCGGTTCTTTCAAGACTAAAATAGTTAAAGATCGATATACTGGCCTAAGCCCATCTATCATGAGGCTCAGTTTGTTGGTTAGACGGGGTTGAGTCACTTGACGAGTGTTGTCTCAGGATCCAATCAGGCCGGGCCTAGGCTAGTAGTTGTAGCTTCGACTGTACAGTAGTACAGTAATTGAGGTTAGGGCCAAGCCAGTTCCACCAATCAATTATCAACACCGACTTGTGCTATTGGGTGCATCTTAACTTTTCACAAAATGTATCAAGGCCTACAATAAACAAGTACAAAATTCTATTAATTATTATTTTAATTAACCACTATATGTAAAGATTACTGCATATTTAAATCCAAATGCAACCAGAGGTTGACCTATGTAAACTTGTCTTAATGTTACATTTTCTTGATAATTAAATCCAGTGGAAATATCAATTTATTTTACATACAGGTGAACTTTGAAACTAGTGTGCATAGCAAAGAAAATGGCATTTGCACAAGTTCTTATTGGACCACCAGGTGCTGGCAAGACAACCTACTGCAATGGAATGAAACACTTCTTGACTGAGATTGGTCGAAAAGTTGCCATAATCAATCTAGATCCTGCCAATGATGTTCTCCCTTTCGTTCCCGACGTGGACATTTCCGAGTTGATATCTGTATCAGAAGTAATGGAGCATCTTCACCTTGGACCAAATGGTGGCCTGATCTATTGCATGGAGTACCTGGAGAAAAACGTTGACTGGTTGCTGAAGAAATTAGAAGGCCTTAAAGACAGTTACCTGCTGTTTGACTGTCCTGGCCAAGTTGAACTTTACACTCATCATAATTCATTCAAAAATATTCTGCAGAAATTATTGAAGTTGAATTTTAAGGTAATTTGAAGAGGACCAATTGAAGAGTGGGAGTTTAATAGCTTGGTGGTTAATCAGCGGCTTGCCTCCCAATCCAAGGGTCCTAGGTTCAATTCCTGTCAGTGTTGCAGGATTGTTTATCACAACCAAAACAACTCCAATTCCTAAACCCTCATATTGAGATTTAGTTTTTGTAAAGTACATACCTGTCAACATTGAGAAATTTCAAAGAGTAATTTCAAAGAGTAAGATCGGGTGACACATAATGAGTGCCGAAGGTACGAACAGTGGCTAGGGGCCATCGGCCCCTGGACTCCTTGACTTAAATGGCATATCTAATCAATATTAGTGAGTTTATAATGATCTCAGATGGATACAGTAGTTATTGAAACATGGAGGTAGAATGTTATTATTATGGATCTTACTGTGAAAGATCAAAAATTGAAAAAGAAACAAAATTTACCCAAATTTTAGGATAAGCGTTTTGCGTAAGACCGTAAGATTTTATTGGAATGCGTAAGACTTGCAGCAAATGCAGACGTGTTGACAGGTCTGAAATTATTATATGTGTATGTTTGTCTTGTGAAATGGATTGTCACCTACAAGCAGTGATATAATTCGCTAATGACAGTCCTTGATGCATATGTAGTCTGTTGTGTGCCTAAATAAAGAAATAACAAATTTAAAAAATAAAAAATCAGTAAAATTAAAAAAACCGAAATAAATTTATCATTAAAATGTGAATACAGGCCATACAAATGAAATGGATTGTCACCTACAAGCAGTGATATAATTCGCTAATGACAGTCCTTGATGCATATGTAGTCTGTTGTGTGCCTAAATAAAGAAATAAAAAATTTAAAAAATAAAAAAATCAGTAATATTATACCCTAAAATTTAAAAACCGAAATAAATTTATCATTAAAATGGGAATACAGGCCATATACAGTAAATTACTTTTAACGAAGCAAAACTGAGGGCTGTAATTCATAGGAGTTTCTCTACAATTTTATTTTTTAAAAAACAGAGGCGCTCTATTCTGTGATAATTACATCGAGGGCGCTATATACATCTTTTTTTTATTGGCAGTTGGCAGGTATACTAAAACATTATTTTCTTTCTCTCTTCAGCTTGCAGCAGTTCACTTAGTTGACTCGCATTATTGTAGTGACCCGTCCAAGTTTATTTCCGTTTTGTTGACCTCGTTGTCAACGATGCTTCAACTTGAACTCCCACACATCAACGTCCTCTCAAAAATTGATTTGATTGAAACGTATGGCAAATTAGGTGAGACATCAAAGCAGTATTCAGAATATCGATAATAAATTTATTTTAATCTCAATTTCAAATTAATGTAATACTGTAATTATAATGATAATAATCTTTAATTTTATTTGTATAGCCAATGGGTATAAATAGAACAAGAGAGCATACTCTCGTTTGTAAAAACGTCACGCTAGCGTAGAATGCCCGCTGACGACTGTATGCTCACCTGCGTTCATTTGCGTTTTGAAGTACGCTATTTACTTGGTAAGTAGAAAAACAGACAAACTATGCGTGGTGCAGGACGCGGGTGAACATACAAACAACAGCATCCTACATTGGCTGCGTAGGCCATATCGTTTGTTTACGCTCTCAATGAGCATATTGGCTCTCTTGTTCTGTTTATACTTTTTAGTACAGCACAAAATAATATCCATTAAAAATAGTTTTAATATTGAATATTGGATCTTGTATTCAAAGAAAACCAATTGCTAATATTAATAATACAGGTCTCACTCTACTTAAATATACCTTCATAATAAAGAGCACCCCCAATTTCAAGACCGCTTTTTCTGTGGTCCCATTTTTAAAAATGTCTTATTTTTATTATTCTAATTAGAGACCAAAGCTGCTAAAGACCATATAAACCCCAGTCCCAAAAGTGGTCTTTAATTGGAGGGAGACCTATATTAATAAAAATAATAAATGAACATGTGTATGGGAAATGCTGTAATAATTGTTTTCATAGTGCTCAACCGAAATATGCTTATAATTGATCTCACAGCATTATAAATTCTGATTATTTTTTTGATGATTGCTTGATTGAAATGAATAATCTGGCTAATGCTTTATCTACACTAATAAATATGTGTGCATATATGGGCATGATGAAGTCATAATACACCCGAATATGGGCATATCACATTTATTTGTTACATAAAATTTGATATAGTGGACAAAGCTTAAACAAGAGGAAGGTTGCCTTCATTACTAAGAATGAAATAATGGGTGCACAGTGTTAATGCAATTTTTATATCCTTTTTTTTCCAAGCGTTTAATTTGGACTATTACACTGAAGTGTCCGATTTGGATTACCTGTTGGATCATCTTCAAGATGTTCCATTTGTAAAGAAATTCAAGAAGTTGAATGAAGCAATGGTTGGCTTGATTCAAGATTATAGTCTAGTGTCATTCTGCACCCTCAATATCCAGGTAAATTATGAAAAAAAAATATTGAATACTTGTGTGTACATAGTATTCCAGTTGTTGGATGGATTTATTTGGTGTAAAAACACCAAGGATAACCCACGGTCTGTAGATTTTCCAGTGGGGTCATTGTGGTGGTGGCATGTACAACAGCAGACAATCCCCTGCTCTTTTCTGAAGCGTGTGTTCTTTAATGTGCCCTCGAGTCATAATGCACACAGGACCAAGGGCTTAAACGTCTAATGTAAAAGACGGTGAACTATCATAACTTGCATTTCAGCAATCGAACCTGGGACCAAAGGACTCCACGGTTCAGTGCACACACATTGGCTACCACCAGCTTAGCCAACTGAGCTAAGTTGCTCTCTTCTCTCATATCAATCTATCATGATTCACTTTTATTCCTACTACCAAAAAGTGAAAATTGCAAATATACAGTAAATGTACAAATGATTCCTTTATAAGTTGCATGAATGTGTATTTCAATATTCATGTTATATTTGTATCAATTCTGTATATTTACAGTATTTTAAATTAATTTTATATACACTGGAATGAATTAATGATAATGTGTTTTTTTGGTTTTTTTTCTATAATAAAAACATGTTTCACATGTTCTCCATTATAATTTACAAACTTAATCTTATTCACCACAGGATAAGGAGAGTATGTTAAACGTGATGAAGCTCGTGGATAAAGCTAACGGCTACGTGTTTGGTGATTTAGAAGAACGCAACATGCAAGCCTTAATGTCATGCGCTGTTGGAGCCGACTTTGAATACTTCAAATATCCTTTCCAATAAAAATTTGTTTTATATTATATATACCATATTTTTTTGAATAAATGCCTGGGGTGTTTATTGTTGAGAAGGGTTTTTTAAGGGGGTATTTATTCGAGAAAGGCGTTTATTCTTTTTGGTGTGGATCTGTATTATACTCAAGTAAACTGTCATCAAATCCTTAAAAAGTTTTTGTTTTAACATTGAAAATGGGGACAATAACAGCATAGCATGATGTATAGATATATAAATGTTAGTTTAGTGCAATAAAACAGATTTTTTTTTAAAATTGACATTTTCCAGCATGATTTTAACCATTGTCTGGGAAACATGATTTGCAACGAGTGACTGGTTTGGTTTAGCTTGTCTTTGCCACGTATTCACACAGGGTAAGGAAAACTTAACAAGCACCCTCTGCTATATCCTAATCAAAAATGCAAGATAATGTAGGGAAAACAATATCTACACATTTCGCATAGTTATGAAATTAAAATCTTATGAAGGATTCTTCTCAATCATATCAGGCATTCAAATTTTATTTGACAAAAACATGTGACATACCTAAGTATGGTCATGATGACATCATATGAATATATATAGGCACATCATCATCATGACTATATATGGGCATACAACAGTATTTTTTCAAATATAATTTGATTGTCTGGTGGTAGTGTTATATTAATATTCACTGTTGATTAGCCTTAATAACAAAAATTGTCACAGCAGCATCTGTACAAGAGAAGTATATGAAAGATGATGATGATGAACCTGCAAAGATGGAGGATGACGCATCATGAATAGACACATGAAGGGGGAAAAGTGAACCAAGAAGTGTATGTCACCTAAGGATGAAGCTTGAAGGCTAATGTTGCTACTGGAATGACATCTAGATAGAGCTGCATTGTGGTAGGCTGCCAGAGATTTAACCTTCTGGTATAAAAGCCTGGAAGTGGAAACTGCTTATAGTTATGATGTTTGATGTGAAAGGAATCACAGTATTAGCTTTATATTTATAAACATATTTCTTGTGTTTATCAAATTTCATAAACAGATAATTTAAAACCCATGGATCATACCGTAAGTAAGTAACCCAACAGAACTGAAGTCATCAACTATACTATAGAGTTATATAAAAGTGATAACTAGGTAAGAAGCCTTGGAGATATGCATAGTAGGTCTGTAGTAGGGAGATTTCAATTTGCGCGATGAAGTAAAACTAAAAAATGGATTCGTGACCATCCTACATTCTCTGCACAATATGAATTTGGGCCAAACTGCATCCTGTAATTCAGACGACCAGAACTGAACTTTGACTTGGCAGAGGAGTTCTTAGTAACATCATTAAGGTTCTAGCAGCCATCATTGTGCAATTAAAAACTCAAGATATTTTTGCCACTAAAAACGTACACATGCTTGTGCAAATACGTCACACTGAGTTTTCAGAAATTCAATCACAAAATGTGTGTATAATTTTAATTTGAAATCAAGTAAAATTCAAATTTACATTACAGTTTTTCAAATTAGAACTTGTACTTTTGATCAGCCAAGTGAATTATTAGCTCTACTTCAGAAACAGGTACAATTTTATTTTAAAGAAATTTCTACAATATGTCAGTGTACTGAATTTTTTACAGCAAAATATAAACAGTCAAAACACAACATTATAAAATTCATTAAACTTTATAATACAAGGTTGTAACTTATAAAGAATGTTTACAAATGTTGTTTGAATAAAACAAATATAATTTTTAGATAATTGCATTTTAATTTTTGTTCTTATCTCTAGCTACCTGTAGCATCACCTTAAAACAAAATGTTGATCACAACTTAACAAAAACTTAGCTAAAAATCTAGAACATTTTAAATTTTGAGTACTGTACTGTACTTAATTTCAAAATCAATTAACATTCCAATATTTAAATTTCGTTTAAGAAAAAGACTTAAAATATATTATTTTAAATATTATATTGCATCTGTGTATAAGTTCATTGCATATTTCATTTAAGTTAAGTTGGATACGTAAGTTACAGTACCCATAAATTGTATTGCACAAACCCAACACTGTGTCAACAAATTGGAAGACAAGTTTTTATCTTTATTTTAGGATTTGTTCTCCTTTGTCCGTGAGCTGTCTACATTCCACATTAAGGTGCTTTTGCCTTGCATCGCTCGTTCCCATTGGAGGTAGTTGTCCCTAAAAAAAAGAAAAAAAATTATTTTGGATCTGATGTCTAAATGCAAAGAAAAAAAAAGAACCCCCCTCCCCCTTATATTTTTTTTTTTTGGGCCTATGTCATCCGAGCATACTGTCACTATAATGTTGAACTGAGTATTAGTATAAGAATGTGACATTGTTGAATACCTTAGTGCAAACAAGCCGTAATAATTGTATGCTCATAACTTTGGCTATTAGTAAGTCGATTCCAGTAATGACCCAACATTTTATATCTTATAATGTGGAGAAATATGAATTGACTAAAAAGTCGTCGGACCAAAAATTTAAAAGAAATAATAATTTTCCTATCAAAATATTACAATATTTTGATTGCCAATCCCTAATACTGTGGTCTAAAAGCACATTTTAGGACCAATTATGCGCTCTCTAAAACTAACATTATTATTATTATTATTATTATTATTATTATTATTATTATTATAAAAACTCTCTCTGTGAACCCTGACAGGGATATATTATTATTGCTGGCTGCCAATCGAGGCTTCATTGTCGCCTTGGTTCAGACCCCTCCGTCGAACATGTTGGATCCCTTGTTGGCAATTTCTGGTGCCACCGCTGTTTATAGCTTCATTATAATGAACCTTTCCACTAAGCCACGCCCCTTGGATATTGTTGCAAATTCCCCAAAATATGACCGTGAAAAAACATACGCAAGCACGTGCGTTTGTTGAACACACGAGTATACTTGGCACTGTTCTGATTGTCTCTTGTTTGAATTAATTTAATTATTAAAAGGAACTGAATTACGTACTTGGTGCTCTCCAGCAGAGACTGTGTGACTGGAAGAACTTGGTATAGGGTTGTGTAGGTTGGTAGACAAACAAATTTGTAGAAATTCACCTAGAAAAACAAAATACACATGTACAAATAAATAGGTGTATTCTCATACTTAACCATCTCTGTGGCATTTGCAGGAAGCATTCTGATACAGTTGCAAGTTCTGATTTTCTTGTAATTATTTTAATCATCATGCCCATACAAGGTGAACACAAACTAATTATTGCCAAGATTAATTCATGGTTCTGATGTACACATGGTATCAATATTTTAAAGGTTCTGTGGTTCTGGTTCTACAATACACATGGAATTTCATATTTTAACACCTGTACTTAAAGTAAAAATCATGAGGTACCATTTTGTACACATTTAATGTACCCCTGGTTCTGTTCCATAAGTTATATGACGATATTACCACTGTACATCCTGGGTACAGTTACAGTAGGGGACATCAAGCACTAAGGTACACCTGGTCAGTGGTACGCATGATATGTAAATATTTAAACACCTGTTCATGGTTAGGCCAAGATTTACAAAGTAATCTGGCATCATTATTTTCTCACCTGTTCTTGGGCAAGTTTGTCTTTGAAATCTCGATTCAGCATTGGAATCGGTTCATATCCGTTCTGCTTCTCAACATCACCCTGAAAAAATAAAACATCAGGATCCAGTTTATTGAAATAATAAAGTCAATCAATCGTTCATCAAATTACATATAAAACAGTATACCTCGTTGAAAAAAATATCTTCATATTATTGCTTGAATAAGCAGGGTTTATAGTGATAGAAGTCTGTATTGGGAATACTGGGTGCTGTGGCTCAAATGATGAGTCGTGGCGTTCAGCCGGCCTCTCAATGCGTCGTAGGGCGGTCATACCACAAATCCAATTTTGCTTCCTGTGAGCGATGGACAACACGATGCCATTTACTGGTCATTAAAAACGATCCGTTGCACGCATGTCATGGCATTGTATTCTCCATAGAATCACGTTGGGTGTAGTGATCAATTTATGTCCAGCTTTATTGAAATAACCCTAATATCTGCAGCCATATAGCATAGCATTGGATCTTGTTTTGGTCTCTCATTATTTTCTCAATTTCAGGACCCAATTCTTGAATAAGCACTGGCTTGTGTGCACTTTAGAAACTTGAAATATCCTTCAAAAAGAGTAGAGGGTTAATTTTTTGTGTCACACACTGAAATAGAAAAATTACCTAACTCTGCCCAATGCATGCCTTCCAGATTTTTAAGTCAGTGAACTAGTCACAATAATCACCTAACACAATTTGGTTAAAGAGTTTTACAAAATAGATTTTTTATATTTGAGTCTGAATTCAGGCCTGTGACCTAATTTACCTGTTGGTAGAATTCTTCGTAGATGTGATCTACTGTCTCCCGTTGTACCGGCCAGTACTTGGCAGATAGAGACAAGTCTGAAGCCGTCATCATCAGCGAATGTAAATGACCTCTAAAATCAAGTTAAAGCTACGTTCACATCAAGCCCGGATCCCGTACAAAAAATCGTGAGTTGCAACATTTTTTGAACGCTGCGTTCACAGCGTGCACGGAACACGGTTATTCGGGTTAAGTACGTACAGTATATGCGTTTGATTGTTTCAAACCAACCAAGCATGTTGCTGATTGGTCCAAGGGAAAAAAAACGTACAATTTCACAATACAAATGGGTCTCAGATCTATCGGTCTCGATCCGGAGTGCGGATTAGAAATCGTACAAATTTGATGTGAACAGTCCTATTCTTTACCACTGAACTCGTTTTTCACAATTTTTTGTACGGGCACCGGACAGGATCCGGGCTTTAATGTGAACGAAGCTTATATCGAACAATCATTAACATCATTTCAAAGTAACATTTTGTTTCAAAGTATACTCTTAAGGAAATAAGGGAAAGAAGAGAGAAAAAATTGTTGGTGTTATGGTCTTGACATATCAGAGGTCTGTTATCTTTTAATATCACACATTTAATACTTTTTTTCATTTTGAGCTTTATGATGTTATATTTATTGCTAATGTATTATTATATAGTATGTCCCCCTTTTTATCTTGTATTTTAACTGTATAACTCATAATTAAACCAGAATTGGCTAGTCTTATTTTGTTTAAGAGTGTGACATAAATAAAGAATAAACTAAACTAAAAAGCCATGACCATTTAAAATTATGCTTAGCTATAACCTGTAATGGTCAAAATATATTTCATAGTCATTATTTAGTATTTCAATCAAATTATCATTTTTATAACTTCATTATGATTTGCCCTACCTGTGCTTTGGGTTGGTAATGCATAGATTATCCGTTAAGCATATCTTAGCCAACTCTTTCTGGTTCTCAAAATGCAATGCAAGATCAGTTGCCAAGATGTTATGTCGGATATGACCAAGCATCTATCAAAAGAATTTAATAGTGAGAAACCTTGAAAGTGAAACGTGTTGCATAATTATTTTTGTAAATACAGAACAGCAAACAAAACGAAAAGGAAAGGCATACAAAATATAATACCAGGGCTTAATATTTGTCAGAAAAATTTCTTTCATTTTTTTTTTTTTTTTTTAGTTTATTCCTTTAGGAACATAGCCAAGGATTACCAATTGCGACTTCAATCACTGTCCTATTAGATATCCCTTCACATGATGCTCTACAGTACATAAGTAAGTCTCATAAGAAGGCTTTAATGGAGAGGAGTTTTTCTTTGTAAGAAAAAACTCGGGAACTGACAGGGTTCAAAGGTAGAATTTATATATTGCCTTGGTATATAGTCTATTTGGATAGGCAAATTAATGTTTTTGATCCGACTACCTTGTTGTGGCGTCAGAAGACAGGGTTCCAGGCCTTTCCAACGCGGGAGGGGTAAATTTCCCACCACACTGGAAATAAATCTACAGACCTTTATGTCGGTTATCCAAGCTGAAGATTCCGAATAAAAACTAAAAGGTGTAGCTGCAATAGTCTGCTATAGAACAATATAAGAAATGACAAACTGTATTTTACCTGTTTATAGACATTGTTAGGGAGATGCGAGAAGATGTTATGACCATCCAACTGCAGAATGAACACAGTCTGGCTAAAGTGATGTTGTTCCATCGTGGATGTAGCGTACAGGGAAGCCAGAGGAGTTTCAAACTTCTGATTGAAGGTGTTTGTGAAGCCACGATGATCCAGATCATGGCAGATACAGGCAAAGAACAGTGACTGCATCTGTTAAATATTATGAAGATCAATACAATTATTTTTGTCACATTTGGCTTGATTTATGACATTAATCCAGAGGCAACGGAACTAATGTGTGACATTGCATAAAGGAGCATGGCACATTTGCGTGTGGGCGGTAGGAGTCCGGATATGTACAGTAGTTTAATTTGTTCTTGACAATAATTCATGTATTTATTCAGTCCTACCAAAACAATATATAAAGAAATTATACTTAATATTAATATATTATCACCTCTATATCGGAGAAAAGACCTTGAGTTGCTTGCAGGAGGCAGTACATACAATGCGTCACTGTAAATGCGTGCTCAAAGTTGTGGTAAGGCACGGGCCGGTAACTGTTTCTCACAGTCAGAATGAAGCGAGCGAGCGTCGATAAGTCAAAAGTGTCCTCGCCAAAAAGTTCATATGTCATGTAGATAAACAGCTCGCAAAATGTATTGGTAGATGGACGTACATCAAACTGAAACCTATAAGAAGAATCTGGTAAACCATCTACAGTACTGTATTTAACGAGTTTAAACTATTATAGACCTATTCAACAGCTTAAAGCTATACTGTATATGTATCCTTGTTAACTATTTTTCATGAGTACTCCTTACACCATGGTTGAGCTAAATCTACCTCTCTGTAATCACCTGAATCTGAATATACTATTAAACAGAGGACCCCATTGGTTCTGCAAGAGGGGATCCAACATCTGATGTCAAGGCAGTGTCGCTTTCACTAGTGCTTATAAATAGGCAGAAATGCACTGTAACAACACCTTGTGCTTCGGCCTAGTGCCTCTCAGTCTGCTGCCGAAAACGATTCTGCCACTTGATTAAACAAACAAGTTTTCTTTGCAATCTCTTCTCTTTCTGCTGCTTTAGTGTAGAAATATATTGAGCCTTCAACATTTAAACCCATCACTTGACAATATTGACTTTTTGGGTAATGCAATGCATTTTAAACAGTGTTTGCTTGCTGGCAAACTGGATGGTGGCATTAGGATAAGCATTGAAGAATGCATGGAAAAAAAAACAAGAAAAAGTTTGAGGATGGTAGAAGGCCCTAAAACTTCAGAAAAAATCAGAAGACAGACGTCAGTAGGAAGTTGGCACACGGTTAAAATTGAAGTTTTAGACCAAGTTTCTTTCTCCAGGAATTATCCAAGAAAGCAATGGAGCAAGGCATAATGGCAGCTTTGAAGGCCCTGGGACAGCTCTCATCGTACATAGCCAGTGGCGTATCTAGGAGTCTTAAGGGGGGCGGAAACTGGGAGGAGCGAGTATTTTTCACGTGCACCCCTTCCACCCTCACAGATACCCCACTGTACATATGCAC